TCCTGCCTCAGCCTTGGAGAGTGCTGGGATTCCAGGTGTGTGCCATCACACCTGGCTCTGTCCGGGCTTTACCTATACCCCATGGTGCCCATTGGGGCCAGGCCTCAAACCACATGAACAGGAAAATCACTCGGTGCCATCCCCTCCCCATGCAACTTCCTTCTGGCCTCGGGAGTTGGGTCTCTTCACCACCTTACAGGAGTTACGTTCTGTGGAGCGTTTAGCTGTCATCTGCAAGGCAGCTGGTGGAAAGGAACAGCATGCCCTCCATTACCAGAGGCAGACTGTCTTCATTGCCACTCAGACTGTATTGCTATATTTCACGTGTATTTTAAAGTTAGGGTTAGGGTTAGGGTTAGGGCCTAGTGAAATGCAGCGAGATGGGTTTCTGGTCGGCTGGGCTGTCAGCCCAGGTCCATCCTGCTGGCCACAGAGGGGAGCACAGCACTGCCTTTCTGCCCCGATCAAGCCTGTGATACCCACAGGATGCTGCCAGCTCAGGGCTGCTCCTTGCCTGTGGTTTGCAGGCAATGGAGGCACTGATGGTGCACGGACAGGTGTGCATTAGCAAGCCTTAACCTCCTTTTCTGCATCTGGAGTTTTGCCCTCCCTGGAGAGCCCGCTGGGGTGTTGTCATAACCCTAGGGATAAAGGCAGGCTAAGGTGAAGGGCACCACTGCCTCCACTGGTAAAAGTTGAAGTACAAAAGCTAGCTAGGCCTGGGAATTTAGCTCAGTGGTGTAAGTGCCTGCCTGACAAGCGCAAGGTCCTGAGTTTGATCCCCTGTACTGCCCAAAAAAAAAAAAAAAAAAAAAAAAGCTAGCTAGACATTAACCTCAGGTTCTGCCTACATCCAGAAGATCCACGCAGGCAGAGCAGAACACCTCATTAGACAGTGGTGGGTCATTTGCCTAAAGCCAGTGTCTCAGGCAAGGCAGAGGAACTGGCACTTGAACCCCTAGGGCTGAATGCTGGCAAGGGCCGTCTTGCTGCCCTCTTTCCATCTCTGTCCTACAGACGCCCACTTCCTTTCATTCCTCACAGGAGTCGGCCCACTGCTCACTGCTTGGCAGATTTCTCGTCTGCCTCAAGTCCTGTTGCCTCTAACAGGTTCTCCTTTCTCTGTCTTCTTGGGGTCTCGGTTGGAGCCAGAGAAAGGTCAGAGCTCATCTATTGTGGACCCTCAGTGCCTCTGTTGCCTGCGAAGAAGGCAAGTTTTATAAATTTTGCTCAGTGGGAAAAAAAAAGACTTCTTGAAACTGAAGCTGCCAGGCAGAATCCAAATGAGAGAAACCACGAACTACACCTGCAGCATGAGTTAAGACATCCATGACTCTACAGCACACACCTGATGCCATCATCGGTGAGTGCCTCATGGATTTAGAACCTCACCTACTGTCCTGCAAGGAGGTGACAACTGGTGAAAGTACTGGCTAACGACTGGCTCTGGGCTTTAAGCCTTCCGAATCCTGTTGCAGCTAAGGACCAGTGTGCTGACTGCCGCTTTCTGGGGCTCATAGTAAATGCTTGCCTGTGCCAGCACTGGCTTTCTGCACCGTTCTGCTTCCAGCCGTCTCAGCAGTCATGTCACACAGCACACTTTGCAATTTACAGCAAGGTATGCAGTTACGACACAGAGCTGCAAGCTCAGTGTGGTGTTACTTATGAGGGAACAGCTGCTACCTCACTTTGCCCACATGTCAAGCTAGCTGACACAGTCCTTGCATAGACCACAGGATAGACCAGTACTGGACTGAAGCAGGAAATGTATTACTTAGGAAGAGGCTCTTCACACGGGAGAAACCTGCTTTGAATTTAGAGACTTGCAAAATAGAAAGCAGTCTTTGACTGCACTGGCCGAGAAGTAATTTCTGGATTAAGAGAACGTCAGCTGGCTCAATCCTTCCAGAGGAAGCATTTTGTTTTAGTTCTAGGATTGCTGCACTTCAGTACAAAGCTGTGCAGCTTGCAATTCCTGCTTCAGCCTCCCAGAGTGCTGGGATTACAGGCATGTGTCGCCACCTTCTGCACCAGTCCTGGGAGATGCTTCCACAGAAAGGAGAGCTGCATGGTTACCATTCCTGATGAAATTCTCCTGTTCCCAGGCTTGGACATAAATACGAAGCTTCATAAAGCATAAGCGTTACTGGATGTGGTGGCATGTGCTTAGCACTCTGAGGGTGAAGTTGAACCATCTAAAGTTTGAGCCCAGCCTGGCAACTGGGCAACGAGACTGTGTCACCACATCCCAGCAAACCCAACCCTTATACAGCTCAATACTAGGCTCTGGGTTCAGTCTCTAGCCCTACACCCCAAATACAGCATGTCTTCACAGGACAGTTTGGTTAGCCATAAAGTGAGGGCAGCCATGCACACAGCAGATTCTAATACCTCACGGAGAAGACAGAACTCCCTTCCCCTACCCTTTTTAAAGATCTAGTCCTTTTGTTTTTCCTGGGGATAAAATAACTTACCTGGTTAACCAGGGGCTGTGCTGGCTTGGTGTAGCTGCTAGCAGCCCACCCCCAGCCCCGCAGCTTCAGCTGTCCCCACAGGGAGCTGTGTCGCTGTCTTCCTCAGGGAAGGCATACACAGGACGCACCAGGCTTTGGATGAACGGGTGTCGTCATCACCTCAAATGAATAAGCAGACAGTTATTACTAAGCGAGCTCTAGTGTGCAGTTTCTTGTGGGAGAAGAGAAAGTAAGGAAAGAAAGGGGTCCAGGCTGACACCCTATAAACATGCTGTGTAGTGCAGACTTCTTAGAAAACCCCAAACTCTATAGGAACTGAGAACCCAGAGTAAGAGGACCTACTGGAGCGGGGAGAGGGCATAAAGGGTGTCTGTAGCAGAAACCTGAAGTGCGCACGTTAACTCCAGCTCCATATGCACTCCAATCAAAAGACTTGTACAACTAAAGGAAATGCTAGTGTTGATCATGGTTAATTCTAAAACAAGTATGTGCAGTTCTCTGCCAAAGTTCTAAGGAAAACGTTTTAAGGACTTTGAAGACTACCAAGCAGAATCCCAGTCACATTTCAAAGGCCGAATGCTTACTCCCATAATCTGTGCATCATGAGATTAACTGACAAATACACTCCATCTAGAATTTTAACTTTTTAGTACCAAGGATTGAACTCATGACCTTACACTTACCAGGCAGGCACTTAACATTGCTGAGCTAAATCCCCAGCTGGAATTTAACGTTTTATTTTATTTTTTTATTTTTGTCTTTTTCTTTTTTATTGGTACCAGGGATCGAACTCACGACTGCCTGCTTGCAGGGCAGGTGCTTATGCTGCTGAGCTAAATCTCCAGCCCCTAATTTAACGTTTTAAAGATAGAAAAATTATGAAGATCAACTGCTGGGTAGTTTTTTTTTTTTTTTTTTTTTCGTTTTTATCAGTACCAGGGATCAAACTCACGACTGCCTGCTTGCAAGGCAGGCGCTTATGCCGCTGAGCTAAATCCCCAGCCCCAACTGCTGGGTAGTATTTTACTCATGACAGGTAATTGGCCCTAATCTGATCCCAGCAGATCCCCGATCCCTGTGGTGGGGAATCAGCCACTTGTGCCCTGAGGGCTGAGGACAGTGCTGCTGACCAGCAGGACACGCAGTACAAGCATTCTCCACCAGATCCAGGTAGGGCAGTGGAGTTCTGTGGGCAGCTGAAGCTTCAATATGTTAATAGGTCCATGACTGAACCAGTCATAGGTGACCGTACCTGGAGACAGAGAGGTCATCCCGTAAGTCTTCAAGAACAAGCAAACAACAGAAGGGGACTGGGAGCTGTGCTTTGTATCAAACACCAAAAACGAAGACCAAGGCTAGAAAGGACTCATTTATTACAACCCCAAATCCTCCAACAAGGTGTGCAGATGAGAGGAATCCAATACCCTGACACGTCCCTCTCCACTGACAGAAGGGCTGATTGAAAGGAGGACAGAGGCAGTGATCTACAGGAGATGCCAGGCCATCGTGAATTTTGGGACAATCCACGGCTGCTCTGACTCTGAACATGGGTGTTTTTTCACTAGGCTGAGGACACTACACTAGCTACTACCATGATGCTGGGGTCTCTAGCAGTGGCCACAGCACAGGGATGGACTGCAGGGGACAGAGCAGCCTGTTCTTTCCTGGGTTTACTCCTGGCATTTAGGGCCAATTGAAGAGGGGTATGTCACTGACCATCTGTCCCCAGTACCCAGTTGTCACCACAGGTAAACATCACAACAGCAAGAACAGGATTGTGTTGTTTTTTTTCCTTTTTTTTCTCTTTCTTAAAGGAGTGAGGGCATGGGAAATACAGCACACCAATAAAACAAAATGCCAAAACCAAAAAACAACAACAACAACAAAAAAATACAAAACAAAACCAAAAAAAAGAAAAAAATACAAAAAATACAAAATAGAAAAATGTATTTACAGGTAGTACATTACTATGATCAGAAAGCACAAAGACCCTTGCTGCTTTAATACATGCATTGGTTCAAGAAGAAACTACTAAAACTTGGCAAGGGAGAAGACTGTAAAAAGAAAAGGGTCAAAAAGTTTTTAACTTTTCATCCCTAATTTACTACACTGATCAAACCAAGTAAGAGCCCCCTAAAGCCCACCAGTCTGTCAGTTCAAATGATATACTGGTTTGTTACGGCAGGGTCAGCTGTGAGGGGGGATGGCAGCTTATACAAGGAAGCCACAGTGAACTGCTCTACATGCTCAAAATACAGCAAGCCCCTACTGCTACACAGCATGATCTTAGCAGGTTTTAATTTGTTTATTCATATAATCTATAGCGCAAATGTGTATGTATATATATATATGTATATATATATATATATATACATATATATATATATATATATATATATGTACGTATGTATAAAAACCGTGCCCTTGTTCACTGCCAACGTGATGTCTGGGTGGACATGAACTCATTACAACAAATTCTTATGTGTATGTTGTAAGAAGTCACTCAATGTCTGTGGATTTAATAAGTCACTTCACACCACAGAAAATATTTAATAAATCCAAAAAAAGGAAAGAATATAATGACAGAAGAACTTCTGTCTCAGTTCTTGGAAACTGAGTCCCCCAAAGGAAACTGGTCCCAAAGTTCTGGAGGGTTCACTGAAGAAACTTCGGTATGTTAATTGTTTTTTCATCCTTTTAGTGTTCAAAAGTTCTAAAACGACTCCATGCCGTTTGCAGTTTTTAAATAGTCAAGTCTCCGACTCCCCGCAAGGTAACAGTCTGGCGCAGGTCCATAAAAATGGGAAGAAGTAGTGCTGGGGAGGGCCTCTCACTCTGGAAGGGGCAGGAAGAGAAGGACCCGGCAGGGCCAGCACCCTCTCTGGCCGGCCAATGAGCTCCCTTTAGAGGCAAACTCCAGTCACACGTCAGTTCCTTACACAGGTACGCTTCTGAGTACCAGGCCAGCACTAAGAGCAAACAAAACCACGTGTTGAGGGAAAAGACGATGGCCATTCTGGTCACTTCTGATGTGACCCATCATACTTCCAGGAATCGAGAGCTGCTGGACTTGGAGTGGAATGGCTCAGACCACATCCGCCGTAGGTCACCCTGAAAGGAATGGAATTTCTTGAATTACTGATTTAAACGTGAGGCACATGTAGGCTCAAAGCCTTTCCTGATTCTGAATCTTAGCAAACAGTGTGCCTATGGGGAACCAAGAAGCATTCTGGTTTTGCTCAGTGAAAAGTAATCCATGATTTCGGAAGAGAAGCTCCTGGACCACTAGAGTAAAGAAGGGTTTTTAGAAACTGTTCAAACTCTACCATGAAGTAAGTAAGTTCTAACTTGTGAGTTAACAGTCTGGGCAATTAATGAAACTCAGTCTATCTTATCTGCAAAATGAGAAAACACAAATCTTCTATGTATGTATGTATGTATGTATGTATGTATGTTTTGGTTTGGAAACAGCATCACTACATATTCCAGACTGGCACTGAACCCACGATCATGCTGCCTCAGCCTCTCTACCTCTTGAGTGTTGAGATTAGAGGAATGAACCACTATACCTGGCTCAATATGCAGTCTCTAAAACTAGTTTTTTTTGTTTTTGTTCTTGTTCTTTATTCAGACAAGGTCTTGCTATATAGTCCAGGCTGGCCCTGAACTCACAATCCTCCTGTCTCAGACTCCCAAGTGCTGAGATTACACGTATGTGGTACCATGTCTACCTTTTGAATCTGGGGTTTTTTTTTTTTGGTACTGAACTCATGACCTGGCACTTGCCTAGCAGGTGCTTGTACCACTGAGCTAAACCCCTGGCTCAGGATCTGATTTTTATTACATATTGCTTTGATACTATTAAACCAAAAAGATTTGGAGCAGGTGTGCTGGGGATTGAGCCCTCAGCCCTAGGGTATGGCTTTAAAGGAAGGAAGGATGGAAGGCAGGCAGGCAGGCAGGAAGTTTTCATAGCTAGGCTCTTGGGGTTGCACTTATGTACTCTATGACCAAGTGATACAGAAAACCGTAAGCATTTTCTGTCAGTGGCTCTAAGAATCTGGGGACATTTGCTTAATGCCAGGCCAACACACAAAACATAGTCCAGATCAGGAGCTGAGAGGCTGTTAGATCAGGGGCTTCAGTAGAACCACCTCTGGCAAGGAAAGTACATACCCAAACCCAAGGCAATGTCAAGTTACTGTTTCTGCAGATCTGCAACTGTTTCTCCTACCTTTAAATAGGCCATGGTGAGGAGTGGCAATAAGGTAAATGGCACCAAGTAGAGGAGGGCAGGCTGCGCGGCTCGGTGGATGCGAGATGCCACTGTAGCAGTGAGGAGACCTACGAGAGCAGACATTGGTGAGTGACTCTCAGGGACCAGCTTTAGAAAGAGCCTCTTTGTCACCTAACCGCCACCTCACAAAACCCCGAGGCTGGACAGACTGGTTGTGACACAATCCAGGCCATGATTAGCATGAAATGCCTAGCTCAAGCAGGGAAAGAAATGTGCACAGCAATTCTAAGGTCCAGTGATTAGCCCAAGTCCCACTTTTTACTCAGGTTCCTGGGTCCATTCGCTCCTTTCTACCCTAAATATGCCTGGTCTCTGTCTCCTACGGTGTATGGTACTGGACTTGGAGGCAAAAGACCTGTGTCAGGTTTTGACTCTGCTTCTTGCAAAAGTCACATAAACGTGGTTCAGGCATTTCACCTTTTTAAACTCCCTCACCTGCCTTCCTCCTCTCAGGGTATCATAAATGAAATGAATCCACGTGTATGTAATGCTATGGGTGAGTACAGTGCTAATGTTAGGCAAAAGGTACAGAGGTGAGGGGTACTCTTTTCTCATTCACTCTGCTGTGTATGTGACAGGTTACTGCTATTCCTAGCCTAATCACAACTTTCTCTTCCTGTCTGCCTGGAGTTGAGCTGGCTGAGGAAAAAACTAGCTGCGGCTACAGGTGACAGAAATTGAGAACTAATGAAGGCCAATCTCTGTTTATTAAAGTAGGAAATAAACAAGACATTCATTCAACTCTGAGAGATTTACACAGTCTAATCCACAAGCATGTGTGGTATGAGACTGGCTCCGAAGACCGGCTACGTTCTTCCTCATGTTCCTCAGACATACTGTTCGGGCACCCAGCGCAGAGAGCATGAAACATCTCGTGGGCTGGCAGGGTCCCTTTTGGTCGTCTAAACAGTAACCAGAGTTACTGCTGTCCTGGTCAGCATCTGCAGCTAGATGTAATTCCACAGGTTGGCGAACACTCAGTGAAGGGACTGGCTGCACACTCACAGCCCTCGCTTACCTACGAAGTATCCAATGAGGGTACAGTGAAAGTAGGAGACCTTTTGCATGCGCCCAGAGATGTTGGCAGGTCCAGAGGCCCCACAGGAGTCACCACTGGCTTGTTTTTTGTAGTTGTCATAGCGAAGGACAAAGCACAACAGAAGACCAGGCATCACAATGTCTCCGATACCCAACATGGAGAAGTGGCTGCCAGTGGAGCTGAAATGCAGAGTACTAGGTTAGGGAGGCCACATGCTACGATTCAATTTCCACTTCTTTGCTACAAAGCCTATCAGTTTTTCAGAAGTCAAACTTACCTGAGATCAAAGGTAACTTGTATTAATCTCATGATGTCGTGACAAATTTAGGATTAAGACCCAGAAATTTTTCCTTTCCTGAAGTACACACACATTTTTTTTGGTGAGCTCTGTATATGTTATATGTTAATTTAAAAAAAACTTACCTGAATGGCAGACATAAGTCTCTACTGATTGGACACTAGTTTTTAAGTGTAGAGATTAAAAGCCCTGTGAGACTAGGAGCACTAGTTGTGACAGCTCAGGTGATTAAGTACTGCCTCTTCTAGAAATCTCAGGCAAATCTATTTGTGACACATTCACTGTTGAGATCAGAAACAGGAAGTATGCCATTTTACCATTAAAACATATTTTTAAAACTGCTACAAAAGTGAAAAGAACCCAGACTCTTGATTTTTTTTTAAATTGGTACGTACCGGGGATTGAACTCACGACCACGTGCTTGCAAGGCAGGCGCTTATGCCACTGAGCTAAATCCCCAGCCCCCTACACTCTTGATTCTAAGCCAACTTTAAAAAGCAGGAATAAAGTGAAGTCTGGCTATTCTATAAACATTAACCAGTAATAAGACCAGCATTCACATCACTTAATGACACTGGTCTCATCCTTACTGCATTTGCACAACAGAAATTATGGCTCGCAGACTGTTTCAGAATGCAGATAGTAAGAAAAAAGTGATGAAGGCAGGGGAAAGCTGTACACAGGAAGGTGAAGTGTTCATCACCATGGGATGAGGCCAACAGGCCAGTCCTACCTTGGGAAGACCAATTTTCCAGGCAGGGACAGGCGAGGAACATCACGTCCAACATTGGGCCCTAGGTGGAGCTTCCGGGATAGAACATCGAGGGGATTGTCAGCTGGCTGTGTAGCCACCTTCACCATGACATTGCTGTTGAAGATGTAGGCTGAGAAAAATACCTGCCAAGGTAGAGAGATGCCTTTAACAAAGGGAACTGCAAACAACCCATGTCCTGCCATTAGCTCTTATTGTTCTAAAGAGCAGAGCTTAGAGGACTAGAGAGCATTCCTGCTTGCTTTTGAGGAGGAAAAAAAGCTCTGTGGTTTGTGCATGCCTGCAGGTTTCTGAATGTCTCGGAGCCTGTCCCAGAGACTGCCTTACAGTGGAACCAGGAGCTTGATGCAGGGTGCATCATCTGCCTGCTGCTGTCTCTTTGAATTTTGAGAGCCACACACAGGCCACCTACTGTGTCACAGTTCCACCAACAGAAAGCACAGAGAGTGCCTATACTTTGTGAACACTGAAAGTTCAGGACCAGAGAGAGGGACCTGAGGAGGTGGTTAGTCAGGGGAATAGGCTCTAGATACTCAAGAGTGGGCAGTTAAGAGCAGTCAGTACTCCAAGAAGACACACAGGGGAGCAGGATCTCCTAGGGAGACACTCACCCAAAAGACATCGTAGATTAGCAGCCCTGAGAGAAGCAGGCAGGAGACCTTGAGGCTTGGCAGGCGGACAAAGGCGATCATGGCAACACAGAGACCCATGGCCAGTGCTGTGGAAGAGACAGCACAGACAGCAGTCAGTGCATGCATGATGGGCCCAACCTCTTTCTACAAGATCTTCAGCTCATCAGTCCAACAGAATGCACAATCCTCTCAAAAGGCAAAAGTTGGCTGGGGCCGGGGACACAGCTTAGTGACACAAGCACCTATCTGACAAGCACAAGGTTGTGAGTTTGATCCCCAGTAAGGGGGTGAGGGAAGACTGGGGATATAGCTCAGCAGCCTAAGAGCCTGCTTGATAAGTGCAAGGTCCTGAGTTTAATCCCTAGAATCAAAAAACAAAACAAAACACAAAAAAAGAGGAGCCGCAAACTCCAGGTTTAGACACTCGTGCCTACTGGTGCCACGCGTTTACTTGAGCCAATCTGGATCTGTGCTAGGATGTGTGACCCATCCTAGCTGACCAGAGACCCAGGTTATACTATCTTAGGCCAGGCTTGTCTGAAACTGTGCTTTTGTTTCCTACAACCTTCCACTGCTGTGGAGGCGTGATCCTTGCTTTAAAAGCAGCTAGCACCCTAGATTGACTGCAACCCCTCTTTCACTCAGCGACACTGCCTGCATCAATTCACTTTCTTCTCTATTAGAGTTTTCCCTGATACACAAATATGTGATACATCTCCCCTAAAACACGCACATCCCCTACACTTATCTTAAAAATCTCGCTAGTTACTTCCCATTCCTCTGGTTCCTTTATAGCAAGGTCTTTTAAAAAGTTGTAGACACAAGTGGTCTCCAATTATTTTCTTCCCAGTTTAAGGTCTAAATACTTATCAAAAAGCAGTAACTGCACTACAGAAAACTAGAAAATAAGAGTTAAGACCACTATTAAACAGCCTCCCAATGATTTTTGCATTGTTTGCCCAGGCTGTACTCAACTTGGGATTCTCCTACTTCAGCCTCCAAGAGAGCTGGATTAAAGGTGTGCATCACCATACCCAGCTGCACATTTATTTTATAAAGAAAATAATTTTTCAGTATGGAGACTGGGAAGCCAAGAGCATGGTGCTGGCACCTTGAAAAACCTTCTTGCTATTTTAAGGTGGATAGTATCATGACAGACATAAGTATTTTAAAAAGATATGAGGTTACACAATCTATTTTTTTTTTTTTTTTGGGTCTTTTTCATTTTTATCAGTACCAGGGACCGAACTCACGACTGCCTGCTTGCAAGGCAGGTGCTTATGCCGCTGAGCTAAATCCCCAGCCCCCACAATCTATTTTTTTGAAGTCAGTATCTGGTTTCCATTTTGATGAATTTTCATCTCATTTAATAAAACTTTTCTAATAGCTCATGGAATGTTTATATGGGGTCTGCCTAAGCCATTAGTAACCACTCCAGGACAAATGTATGTGTTTTAAATCTTCTAGATCCAGGGCAGTGCTTTTTCAATGCCTTGTTGAGACTGGTGCCATCTGTCCTACAGAATGTATCACTTTCCTGATTTCTCAGGTGCTTCCCTTTGTGGTTGCTGGCCCTTCCCTCTATTCCACACACATCCTGTAATGCAGATGGTATATTATCTAAAGACTGGTTCACTTCTATTCGTTATTTCTCACATCTGTTTTACGAAGATTTCATCTTTTGTCAGTTGTTTCAGGGGCATGATTCCTTACAGGTGCCAAGGGTACTCTCAGGGCTGAATGCAGTGATGAACCTCTGCCTTTAATTCAATTCCGGTATGCTGGACTTGCCCCCAGATCTTACTTGATCTCTTAAACTTCAAGTCAGGTTGTACTGGTCTGCTGAAAACCTTTAAGCAATTTCCAGTTTCACACACAGGACAGCCAGTCTTCATGCTGGCTGGCAAGGCCCCACTGCTCTGCCTTTCACACCCTCACCTGCTACTTCCTGTGGACCAGTCACAGTGACTCCCATGTGCTTCCTCCAATGTGCCTCACATGTCCCCATGTCAGTGCTTTGGACCTGCTGTGCCCGCTACTTGAATGAACTTAGCACAAAATCCACCTAGTTCACTCCCACATCTTTCTTAGGGCTTTATTCAAGGATTAACTTCTCAGTGTCAAACAGACTTTCCTGAAAGTTATGCAACAGCACCTCGGTTAACAAACTTTTAATTTTTTTACAAGTTTGGGGAAGATGGTTGCATTTGTGTTTATGTGGGGAACATAGTCTTGGTTATGTTTGTTATCCAATGAGAAATTTGTGAACAGAAGTGAAACTCTGCCAAATACTTTTACATGTGAATCACACTGTTTGCAAACAGAAGTGCTTGTGAATCTTAAAGTACTACTATATTTAAAATTATACTTCCTTTCTATATAGTATTTGCCTTTTTCTTATACTTCTCAACATTTGAAATACAAGGTACTGCCTTTTGTTCGATTACCTCCTCAGGGCAGAGAGTGCACTGTGTCCCTGGAACCTACACCAGGGGTTAGCGGATGGACTTTTTTCTGCCCTCAGCTTTTTTTTTTTTTTTTTTTTGGTTAGTACTGGGATTGAACTCAAGGAGTGCTAAGCTACATCTCCCCAATCCTTTTTATTTTGAGAAAAGGTCTTGCTAAATGCCCAGACTATCATCAAACTTGGAATCCTTTTGCCTTAGCCCCCCAACTACATATGAATACAGGCATGCATCACCATGCTTGGCTCAGAACCCACGTTTTATTCTTTCTGTGGCTTCCCAGCACTTGACATTCAAGAAAATACTTCCTGAAAAAAATGGAAAAATCATGCTCTATTCAAATTTCAAATTTTCTTCAGAATCAAACCCAAGAAAAACCAAGTATCAGGTATATATTATTTTAACAGATTGGTAACTTGTCAACATATGTAACAAAATGGGTAAACGTAGAAGCTTGGCAAGCTATGGACTCGTCAACTCAATGAATTCCTACTCACCAACTCAATGAGTTCCTACTGTGTGTGTGTCTGGTGTTGCATAAACAAGAAGAGAAAAAGCATTCTCATCCCTACAACAAAGAAAAGTTGAAAAGATAGGAGTAAAACTAGGAAAAATCAAAACTATATATTGTCTTTTAACTTTTCAATATTCCAGGATGCTCATTGTACTTGCTTCTCTCTTGCGGTTTTTTTTTTTTTTTTTTTTTTTTTTTTTGAGACAGGGTTTCACTATGTAGTCCACACTGGCCTTGAACTCTCAATCCTCTGGCCTCAGCTTTCTGAAGGGCTGCAATTAACACCACACCCACCTGACTCCACCTGTAATTTTTTACATATTTCTAAAAATAGAACAAAACTGGTCAAATGTACACAAATTGATGTCATTTGATATAAATACAATGAACAAAGCTGCAAGGGGATGATTGACGCACAATGTTTAGGGCACTGAGAGTTATACCCAGACTTTCTTTTTTAAGGAATAGGATCTCCCAAAATAATCTTAGGAAACAAATGTCACAAATTAGTAAGGAGGATACTACTATGAATGAACTCAGATAGCTGAGGAACAACAGTTATTGGACAGAGTTTGGATTCTGAATGTCTCCAAAAGTCCATGTGTTACAGGCTTTGTTCCCCATCTGTGGTACTACTGGGAGACAGGAGAAGCTAGCAGGAGGTTTTCAGGTCACTGCAGCAGGGTGTGTGAACTTCAGGCCCCTCCTTTTTCCTCTTACTGCCTAACCATGAAGTGGGCAGATTTACTCTACCATGTGCCTCTGCTAAAGTGTGCTGACACATTCCTACTGATCATAGACTAGACTCTCCAAAACCATGAGGCAAAATAACCCTTACATACATTACAGTAATGGAAAGCTGACTAATGCAACTGGTGACTAGCAAGTGGAAAGACCCTGGGACAGAGGCTGCAGCAGTGATCAAAGAACATGTGGAACACTCATGTGTATCCAACCTGGCTGGGGTGATCTGTTCATGGGCTTAAAAGTGAATGCACTTTCAAAGTATCAAGGAAACGAAGGAGGAAAAGGTCTAAAAAGGAGTGTGTGGAAAGTGAGGGTCAGAGACTGACCGACGCATTACTCAAAATAACCAGAAGAGGGACAGGGAAATGGACTAGGTAGGGAAACAAGGGTTATACTTGCATGTCTCTGGCACAGGCACATGGCCTGTCCCTGAACTTTCTAACAGTGTACCATAGAATCATTCTACCCAAAACAGGCCTTTAAAGGTTACACAGTCCCACCCCCTTGCTGCTGTCACTCACATTATGCTAATTCTACTTCATCGTGGTCTGACCTGAACATGAGAGATTCAGAACCGCTCGAAGTCACCATTTTTAAAAATGCTCCGCACAATGTCACCCTCTCCTTTCTGTAGATTTAGGTTTCATTTTCAACTTATTTTACCATATGCATGTAATCTGTAGCCGTTTTAGGGTGTTATGCTTCACCATTACGGCAGACTTTAGCTATGCCTTCCCCTACTTCCTTCTTTGATGTGTGCCCTTATCTTCTTCCTGCCTTTCCTTTCATTCCCACTTATTGTTCACTGCCACTGTCAAAATCTGCTCCAATTATTTCTCACTGTAGGGTCATGAGGTTTCTTTCCTGTGAAGATCAGGTCTAATTTTAAAGCTGCACGGCCTACACATGACGGAGCTGCAGATGTGGGGCTCCCGTAGTTATACTACTCTCCTCTCTTTCTTTTCTGTCTTTTTCCTTTTTACCAGTACCAGGGATCGAACTCAGGACTGTCTGCTTGCAAGGCAGGCACTTATGCCGCTGAGCTAAATCCCCAGCCCCTTTCTTCTTTTTATAGATCTTTTTTTTTTGTATCAGGGATTGAATTCACGACCTCGCGCTTGCCAGGCAGGCGCTTATGCCGCAGAGCTAAATCTCCTGCCCTTAATCTTACATCTTCCTTAGGACTTTTCCACAGGAATAACTTCTCTTTGTTCCTGGTTGCCTGAGAAACCCCTAGACTTCTCTTGATAGTACTGTCAACAAATTTAACTTTTCATTACATGTGAATTGACCAAAAGTAGGGAGCTAACCGTTAATCTTAGGCATTTATCTATGACTTATTTATTTTCGGGGGTGTTTT